TGCATTTATGTGTTCCTGTGTGTATGTGTTTGTATGTGTGTCTATGTGTTTGTGTGTGTGTGCTTGTGTGTGTGTGTGTGTGTGTGTGTGTGTGTTTAGGCCATTGGTCAATGTCAAGTGTCTTCTTCAATCATTCTCCACTTTATTTTTTGAGACATGGTCTCCCATTTGGGAGAATGTTTCCCCAAATCCCATGTGTCAATGTATAATTTCCAATCTGTTACCAACTGGAAGATGCTAGAAATATTAGAGGCAGGGCCTAAGAGTCCCTGGGCTCTGGGGTAAGATAGTAAAGCAAAGAGTGAGCACATGGCTCTACTCCTCTCTTTTTCGCTCCCAGCTATGAGGTGAGAAGTTATTGTCACCACCACAGGTTCCCAGCAGGATGCACTGTCCTATCTTCGGGCTCCCAGACAGCAGGGCCAATTGTTCGTGGACTAGAACCTCCAGAACTCCGAGCTCGATGACACATAGTATCTCTGTAAGTTGACTATCTCAGGTACCTGTCACAGTCATGGAAAACCATTAGAGGAGGCCTGTGGTGCTGCAGTGGGAGCTGATGGGGAGCTGGAATGTAAACAGGCCAGCTAGGTCCCAGTGGTGAGAAACAGACCCAGGCGTTATTAAGTAATGAATTAGCCAGTGCAAAAGACAAATTAGCCACCACAAACGACAAAGACTCCCACAAATTCAGCTTCTTGAGTTGTCTGTTTAATTTCCACAAAACCATTTCATTTACAGCACCATTGAACATGTTTCACCTGCAACAGGTATGCATATGTACATCATTGTGGGGATTCACATGCAGTTGGCAAGGAGTTATCGAAGCTCTTTACCTTAAAGTTTTAACAATCCCCCCCGAGATGTGATGGTTACACTTTGGCAGTGGTGCCCTTGAGAATAGAAGGAAGACTTTAAGCAACAAAACTCCACAATACTGTAACATAACCTCAGGCCTCCAGAAGGGATGGCTCTCTCTTGACAATCATTCTTTTCTGGATTGCACTCACCACATTTCAGAGTAGGTTCTGTACCTCTTGCCCAAAAGCTCCAGTCCTCCTAACTTAGCTAAGAAAATTCCATGTAAATACAAAAAGTCTGGGGGTGGGACGAAGAGAGAGAGAGAGAAAGAGAGAGAGAGGGGGAGGGAGGGAGGGAGGGAGGGAAGGAGGGAGGGAGGAAATGACAGGAAACAACAAAGCTGCTCCAAATTCTAATACATTCTATACATTGAGGATTTTTGTCTGATGCAAGTTCTGTTTAAGAAACTCTTTCCTGGTTTGATAGCCTTGTCCCCGCTCATGGTCACTTGACTGGAAATAAGCCCAGAAGCACAAAAAGGTGACAGGCGGTCAGGCAAGGACAGAGCGATAGAGAACACACTCCGTTAGTCAATGATCTCTAACTAAATTCAATACCCAAATCAAAATGTAACCAAACTGAAATCTAGCCTGCAACTCACTAAGTGGCCAGGGATAACTTGAACTGCTGCCTTGAGTTAGTTCATGTGTGGCACTTGCGGTAGTTTAGTGCTTGTGTGAATGCCCACACAGCAAGGTTCTAGCTTCTAGCCTCAGCACAACCAATGAAACACTTTTTAAAACACTGCTTGTTAACAGTGAATCTTAATTCAAGTGTGGTACTAAATGCCTGTAACCCCCGGACTCAGGAGGTTGATGCTGTGGCATGGGGAGTTCCAGGACAATCTGGGAGACAGAGTAGCGAATGCTGCAGGATGGAGGACACTAAACACTGTTGGGCTTGGGATGGGGGAGGGTTCCATCCACGATGGTTACATATGGTTACAGCCAGTAGTTTAGAAGTAGAAAGAGGCACAAAACTCTTTCCCAGGGAATGTCTAGGAGAATTTTTAGGTATCATAGGTTTGGGAGATGATTTGGAATTTTTTTTATTAGAAGCCAATAATTCTACTTAATAACATGTAATATCTAATATGGCTTGGACACACCCAACTCATAATGCAGCCTGTCAAGATGGAAAGACACCCTGACAAAGACAAATACACACTCCACTGAGTCTTGGAGTTCCTAATTTACAGGGTATGTGTGTCTGCGTGGGGGGGGGGGTGGAGATTGGTACCCAATAATAATTAAATGTCAAGAAATAAAGGTCCCAATTTTTAAAACTAAGATTAGAATGAAACAAAGCAATTGGTTTCTATAACTAACTGGTGCTAAAGTGCTGGAAGGAAGTGATGCGTTGTCCACAGAGAACCAAAGATAAGAGGGCAAGGAACACCCTAGAAGGACAGAGGACAAGTCAGCGTGCGGGACACCTGGTCCTGACCTGTCCCACAGAGGGTCTAATGCATGTTGTAAAAACGTCTTTGAGGTTGGGGATATAGCTCAATAGTTGAGCATATGCTTCAATGAAACCTTGAAGGCCCTAGCCTTGACTGGTCACTACTTTAGGGGAGAACAAAGAAGACAAGCAGGATGGAAGGAAGGGCAGGCAAGAGGGCTGGGGGTTCTAGGAACAAACCCAAGCATGCAGGAACAGGAACTGAGTGTCACTATCTGCCTAAGCTCAGAGAAAGTATGTTGTCTTGTCCACAGGGTGCATGCTGATTGCTCATTCGGGGAGGGAAAATGTGCACTGCCCTCAGAGAATTAAAAAGACAGGAAAATCAATGGCCCAGGAGACCTCAAGCAAAATCATCACACATCCAGGGCTGGAGGTGCTGAACACAACCAAGGAGCAAAAACACAGCAGCCTCTCGACTTGTTTGCACGTTATTAAACGCAATTTGGCTATCTTCAAAAAGCCATATTTCACATGGGTTCCTGTCTATAATTTGCTATGCAGATGTCAATCAAGATCATTTTTTCTGAGGTTGGGCTTAATTATTTGGAATTATGTGTATTTTCGTTCCAGAACAAATGCTTTCAGAGATTAAAGAATGTTACTTTCATGCAAACTAAAATTCATTCCTTTAACTAGTAGCAGGAAACCCGTAAACTTATAGTTTTTCCATTAATAATAGGGCAGAAAGATATGAATTCAGATTTGGAAGTTAGAGACAAATTTCTACTTTGGCTTCAACCGAGGCATTAAACAGTGTTTATGCGTAGGAATCTGCTCACAGATCACCATGCTGGGCTCCTAGGGAATTCTCCGGCCTGTCACATGTTTGCTGCCCAGAGTAGAAATTCTGTCTTTGCTCCTCTCCTAGCTTATGAAGTGCATGTAATCTAAGACAATAAACTTGGGGGAATTAGAAAGGTTTTAGACATTTTTCTATTTACTTTTGGACGGTTGATTTACATCTAATCAACTTCTAAGGAACAAAGAGTTTCCTATACTCCTGACCACAGCTGCCCAACAGCCTCCAAATTTTAGGCTAATAATTTAAAAACAAACAACAAACAAAAAGCTGAGCCTCTCTGCTTTGCCTGGACTCCTAGGCTCAAGTGACTGTCAACCTCTTGAGTAGCTGAGGCTACAGGTGTGTGCCACCATGCCCCCCACCCATGAAAATGTTTTCTTTAAAATGGTGTTTGCACTGGAAAATGTGGGTGCCATTTCTGTGACCACCCACCACTTCTGTTGAACCCCGTGCAGTTTCTCAATAAGTTCAAGGCTGCTAGCCTAGGACAAGATCACTTTCCTTCGGCCCTGAAACTTGTGAAACATGGTGCTGGCTCCCTCAACCAGGCATCCCCAACTCATACCTATGAGGCTTTGGTTAAACAAGGATGCCCAAACAAGGTATAAAACACATGACAGACATTTTGCACTTTCTCCTACCAATACGGTTCAGCTCTGTGTCTGGATCAGATCATAATCAATTTATTTAAACTTGGTTAACATGGGTCACACATAACACTCTAAGTGCCACCAAACACATTAAAAGCAGCAATCAAATTACTTTTCGTTTCTCGGTTGGCATCAACTTTTCCATACAGTTACTAGTTGGCAGCTATAATAAATAGTTTAAAATATGCCTGATTAAAGCTAAGGCAGGCTAGCTTATTTATTTATTTAGCAGGAGTGAGTATTCTCCTGCCCCCGGAGTATTCATCTGCTCCTGGCCAATGCTACATGGATCAATGTGACACAAAGAGAAGACTGAGGAAACGTGGACAAGGAAATCATTACCAGAACAATAGGGGCAGCCATCCTACCTGGAGCCTCTCAGAAGTGGTAAGTAAGTAAATATGTAGAAGCCTGTCCCTACCCTTGTGAGTGTGAAGAATACATTACACGATTAAGCTTCTGCAACACCATGGCTGTAGTTTAGTTCCCAGCAGAAAGTCAATGTTACACCTCACACCACTCAGAACGAAGAGATGGTCCAAGATCACCTTTCCCTCCACCCCAGCAAAGCCTGCCTCCTCAACATGTTGAAAGCATTTTCTGCCTCTTGAGGCATCCTGTTTATCCACCTTAAACAACTATGCAGTTTGCATTTATTTATTAGGTGTCTGCTCCTGGTGATCTGAGAATGGACCTAAGAATATCTATTTCTGCAGCGCCACAAATGGCCAGCTTCCATCTTTTATGATCTTTGAGGGGAAGAGAAGAAATCGTAGTTAATGTGCTTTAATTTCCCCCCCCACCCACTTAAGCTTTGAGCTCACCTGAGAGTCAGCTAGAAGTTCTGATTGGTTTAAGAACAAGGGCTACAGGGTGCATCTCTGTAACAGAGCAGTTCCTTAGCACGCACGAGCTCTGTGTTCAGTTCCCCAGCACCACAGGACAGGCAAGACTGACTCTGAGTCCTGTGTCAGAGTTACTGAGTCCCAGCCTTCAACATCCCTGAAAACCCACGTTCACACTAAAACTGTCACAGGGAAGTATGAGGCGCCCGGGGTAATGGGAAGGGGTGACACGCCACGTGAAAATCAGTAGCTTGTTCCACTCACATCCCAAACGTCTGACCCCTACCGACGGCGAGCACACCCACAAAGCTTTTTCCACAAGCAGAGCCGGTGACCCAAAGCACCTGTCCAGACAGTCTGATTTTGTGTGGGAACCCACTAAAAATGAGTACTGTTTTCACAGTGCTGTCCCTCTTGAGTCTTACTAAGAGTCTGTCCCTGCTCCCTCGGACAGCCATCCAAAGACACATCAATGGCCACTTCCTGAGCATCCCTTGTGCTTCGGTAAGTCTCCAGAGAGGGCCCACCGTTGTGCTCGGCACAGCCATTGATGAGAGCCAGCGGCAGTGTCCCCGGGGGACAGCACAGCTTCTTAGTGCAGCTCTGGGAGATGCAGGGGGCACTGCAGGTCAGCAGGAAGTCCTTCTGTTCCAGGGCTTCCTTCAGGTCCACCGCTTCAAACTGGATGGTCACGTTGTGGATTCCAGCATGATGGAAGATCTCTCGGATTTTCCTGCTGGCATCCTGGTACCCCGTGTCCTTCTGGTACTGGATGTGCAGGGTAGCGATGGTCTTCCCACTTATCAGTTCCCAGATGTGCACTTCGTGCACACTGCTGATTCCAGGCACGCTAGAGAGCTTGCTCACTACAACAGACAGGAGCAGACAACAGTGAGCGCTGGAATGGAAGCTTGGAACCACGAGCGGGGACTGCGTGCGTAATCACACCCACCAAGGCTGGGCGTTTACCACAGCCAACAAGAAGAGCTGCCCCTCAAGAGTCCATTTTCCCATAATCACCCTTCCCTCTGGTTTCCTACACCACACAGTGTTAACCTATAAGTAACTCAAGAGCCCGAGGCAAAAAGATTGCAAGTTCAAGACCAGTCCCAGGAAGTTCTAAAGTAGCCTGGGCTACATGTGCTCAGTCTGTTCCAAGCTAGCCTGGTCTGCATAGCAAGTTCCATGTTGGTCATGACAACATAGGGAGACCCTATCTCAGATAGATAGATAGATAGATAGATAGATAGATAGATAGATAGATGGATGGATGGATAGATAGATGGATGGATAGATAATAGATGATACATAGATTATAGATAGATAGATAGATAGATAGATTACAGATAGATGGGTGATAAACAACTGATAAATGGTAAGTAGATATGTAGATGATACAGACACAAATAGATGATTGATAAAGATATGTAGATCAAAGATAGCTGGGTGATTGACAGATCAATAGATGAATAGCTAGACAATAGAGATAGGTAGGTGGATGATAGATAGGCAGACAGGCAGACAAACAGACAGATGGGCTAGTTTAGTGGCATGATGAAAAGCACTTACCAGAATGCTACTTCTAGGGATCTATTCAAAGACTCGGAAACTTTTAGCCTCTGAAGCATGTAACTGAGGTGAGCATCTGACTTCGATCTGAGCAAAGCAAACGAGAAGGCTCCACTCTTCTGAGAGGGGCCCTTAAACAACCTTTTTACAGTGTGACATGCTACCAAGTAATGTCCTGGTTCAGACATGTCAACTAACCAGATCATCTTCTTAAGGGGAAAAGGGTATAAAGGTGTATATTAAAAAGGGTAAAAAAAAAAAAAAAAAAAAAAAAAAAAAAAGTCTAGGTCTCTTTGTTATGTGGGCAAATGGTCCAGTGGTGCGTTTTGCCCAAGATTGAGAATCATGCCACAAAGGACCTTTAGTTCTTGGAGCTGTAAATTATTATCCTAATCTGCAAGCCTCATGAAGCATGCCACGCCTCCACCACATGGAGATACAGGAGAACACACCAATCACATGAAGCACGCCTCCACCACATGGAGATGTAGGGAGCTTCCCAACACACTGACCAAACAATGTTTCAATCATAACCATAGAGTGTCTGTGGTCCCCATTTGTACACAGCCCACTTACTCAGCTCTTCCATGTCAACTCCCTTGGGAACCATCTGCAGCAGGATGACAGCAGTCTCCTTGATCAGTGGGAAAGCAGATGACAAAATAATGATGACCATGACAACAGTCAAACTGGGGTCAATGTAGCATTGCCAGTTACACGGGTCTTCTCGTCTCAGGGGGTGAACATAGAATATGATGGCTGTGACGACCACAATCACGGACCCCAAGGCATCTCCCATCACATGCAAAAGAACACCTGCCAGGAAGGAAGGCAGATCAGTAAATCCCAGAGCCATGTGCTGGAGCCACGTGGTGATCCATGGTCCGAGCTCACGAGCGTTCCCTGCTGCTTTCTGTTGGAGCACTGGATAGGTCAGAGTTTTTTAAAACAAGCTCAGTGTTGATGCACACTATGATCTCAGCATTTGGGAGGCTGAGGCAGGAGGATAGCCTAACCTACATAGGGAGACCATCTTAAAATAAACAAAATAACAATAGCAACTACTCAGAAGACAAAATTACATTGCCACAGCCGTGGGATGGCTCAAGCAACTGAAGACACTTGCTACCTGGGGTAGGTTCCCTCTGTCCTCTACCTTCCATATGCTCTCCCTCTCTCTCTCTCTCTCTCTCTCTCTCTCTCTCTCTCTCTCTCTCTTTTTCTCTCTCTCTCCCTCCCCCCTCTCTCTCTCACACACAGATGTAATAAAAATGATTTTTAAAGGTAAATGATATAATTACATTTTAATTTCAATTTTTTAATTAAAAAGGAAGAAAAAGTTAAACAAAAAACAAATCTCAGGCTAGCCACCCAGGAAGAGGAACAGCCTCGGAAGAATCTGGGTTAGCTGTCACCTTCTGGGCCACATCCCTATCCCTCACAACCATCAAGACATGACAAGAAACAGAGCTGAGCAAACGATGTACTATATTCTTTCAGACAAGCCTCTGGATATTAAATTCCTTTAAACTTTCATTTCACTCTGTATTAGAGAAAAGGTCTCACTGTGTAGCCAAGGCTGGCCCCAAACCCCTAATCTTCCAGCTTTGGCGTCCCTGTGCTGGGACTGTGCCACCATGCCTGGTTTCAAAGTTTGTGTCTTTATTAGACTCCATGAGTCAGGTGTGGGGTGGGGCTCCCCTTCTTTGTCCCTTATGAACTCATCGTGATGGAGGTCCCATCACCTTTTATTGCTATTTTCATGGTGGCAGTGTCAGGGGATGGAGCCCAGCATCTGACCAATGGCAGGCAAGCATCCTGTCCTTGGATACAGTTTCAGACAGAAGAAGAACTGTTCTTTTGGGTCTCTGGCTTCCCTCAATCCCAGTCTACTCCTGCTTGTTAGGATAAATCTTTCCGCCAAAAGCCTCAGGGGCCTACTGCCACATGGGCAGTCTCTGCCAGCAGCCTGAGTTCTGCTCGCTTCGTTAAGGCCCCAGATAAAACACAGAGATTTATTAGGTACAAATGCTGCTTAGCCAATGACTAGGATTTCTCATCTGCTAGCTCAATCTTAATTATCATAAATCTATATATTTTATAAGACTTATCTTATTGGACGCCTTCCATTGGCATCCTCCCTTGCCAGAGGATCACATCGTGAATCTGGAGGAAGAGTGGAGGGGGAAAAGGACCACTTCCTGCTTGTCCTTGCTTAAATATAAGTCTCCTTGCTATGTCACTTCCTGCCTGGATCACCACTTTTCTACATTTCCCAGAATCCTCTTTGACTCCTAGTCCCGTCAAACTTGTTGCCTCATTGGCCAAACAGTATTTTATTAAACAATCAATAAGATAAACATACACAGAAGTACATTCCCCATCATCTCTTTTCTGTCTAAATAAAAAGAAGGATAACTTATCTTTTATAATAACTGAAGCAAACTATAACCATAACTATCTGTCTTCAACTCTATCAAAGACCACAGAAGGATAATATATACATTCCCCATCACCTCCTTTTCCTGGGAACACTAGTCTACTTCTTACTGGCCTTTTGCTATCTCCATGGCACTTAGTTTTAGAAGGTCTGGAGAGCAGAGATGCTGTTGAAGTTCCCCCTGAATAAAAAGCCATTTGTCACAATCACATAACATTAAAACTCTACGTGTAAGGGTTAAAGCTGTGGCTTCTAAAGGTCTCAGTCAATTCATTGCAGAAAATACGAAATCTTCAGCAAAGAGGATCTGGGCTGTAGATGTACATTAAGTTAGAATTTAGTAAATTCAGTGAAAACCTGGCCAGAGGGGTTAAAAATGTAGACACCAAGTATTTGCATTCCTGAAAGGACACCAGAATCTTGCTCCTGGAAATCAGAGGAGGAGGAGAAGGAGGAGGAAGAAGAGGAGGAAGAGGAGGAGGAGGAGGAGGATGAGAGGGGGGGGGAGGGAGGAGGAGGAGGAGGAGGAGGAAGAAGAAGAAGAAGAAGAAGAAGAAGAAGAAGAAGAAGAAGAAGAAGAAGAAGAAGAAGAAGTTAGAAAGAGTCTCAACCTCACATGGGTCCTGTCTTGATCTGAGAAAGGGGTATCATTCACATGACCCAGCACACCCCACAGAATCACACCAATCAGGAGCTTTAAATCACCAGGTTGACATTAAGGACCCCTGTCAAAAAACCATGGCGATGGTTCAGACATACAGGCACTTGCTGCCAAGCCAGATGGCTGAAGTTAGATCCCCAAGCCCCAGGGAGTAGAAAGTAGAGTCCTCATTCCTGCAAGTTGTCCTCTGACCCCTACACATGTATGTATGTACATTCATACAATGTATTTACTGTACATGCAATAAATAAATAAATAAATATGATTTAAAAAAAATTATCTGTGCCTGGGCATGATGGCAGGTACCTACAACCCGGCTACCCAAAAGGCTGAGGCTGAAGGATGGAAAATTCAGGGTCAGCCTGGGCTACATGGGGATTTCCAGGCTAGCCTGGGCTACAAAGAAGCTTCTGGGGCGCATATTAAGACCCGGTCTGAGAAAAACAAAAATTAAAAAAACTATGAAACTGCCCAGGCCATAAAGGCAGAGTATCCAAAAGGCCACCCAGCATCTGATACTTTACAGAAGCAGTGGGGTGACACTCCAGCAGGACAATGTTGGAGGTAGGAGGTGTGCCAGGCCAAACAGTGCTGCTGGACAGGGTATTTGGCCCTAAAAGAGTGTGTGGTGGGACACACTTTTAATTCCAGCAATTTGGAAGCAGAGGCAGAAAGATAATCTGTGAGTTATCCAGGCCAGCCAGGACTATATAATAAGACCCAGTGTAAAACAAGAGTGTTGAACTTCGGCTATGTATGCTTAGAAATGCAGAGAGTAAAACCAGTCAGCAAAGTCACCGAGAGAACCGCCAAGCTTGAGCATATATGGATGGGGTCTCTGGTCAGGGTGCATGAACTTTCAGAGCTCATGGTGTGATTAAAATACACCCAGTACTCCCACCATCCACCACCGCCAGCAGCAGCAGCAGCAGCAGTCAGTTCTCATGGGAAGGAAAGAGCTAAACTTGAAAAAAACAGTCTCTTAGAAGACATAGGAACAGCAAAACATACAGCGCAGGAATGAACCATACGTCAAACAGTGCTAATGGAAACCAGAGTAAAAGGGAGAGGCAGGAGGAGGGGAGCCTCGCCCCCAGAGTGCAGCTGAGATTCCCTCTCCACTCTACAAAGGGGTAAATTGAGGCACTGAATGGCTAAGTGATTTGCCCGGGGTCACACAGCCATCAAATCCAAGTGGGTGTTTGAACAAGATGGCCCTGGTGATTTGAACACATTTAGAAGTTGTCAAAGGACTGCTCTAGAAGAAAATATGTAGTTAGGAGGGTCTGCTTGGCCACCCCAGCTATCCAAAAGGTTCACTCAGTAGAACTGATAATAATTCCAATTGCTAACTTCTTGCTCATGGAGATCGAATGGTCAGACCTGGAAGGTGTTTGAATTGAGCTGCTCACACTTCCTGGCCTCTGAGTGACACTCTTGTTAAATGGCATTGTCCCCTTGCCTTTTACTGAGTGGTTACATAAAGCAACAGGACACCAATTCGATATATACATAAGACAGTCCCACTGTCTAGCATTCTATCCCCATCCTCGCCAGCCCCTGTTCCCAGCCACAGGAGAAAAATTCAGAACATTCCCAAGAGTTGCCCTACTCTTGACAGGAGCCAAGGAAACCTTTGCTTTCTTGGCGACAGCACCAAATGTTACTGTTCAAACAGGAAAACCTACTGTCTCCTTCTCATTCTTTTTGTTGTTGTTCTTATTCTCAATATTTATTTATTATATATACAGTGTTCTGCCTGCATACATGCTTACAAGCCAGAAGAAGGCATCAGATCTCATTATAGATGGTTAAGAGCCATCATGTGGTTGCTGGGAATTGAACTCAGGACCTCTGGAAGAACAGGCAGTGCTCTTAACCTCTGAGCCATCTCTCCAGCCCTCCTTCTCATTCTTAATGCCACTATCTCATTAAGTCTAATTGGGGTCATGCCCTCACTTAGAGGCAGACAGTGGAGCTCAAAGACACATGCCTGAAGGGAAAGTCAGAGCAACAGCTCGGGCCTGTAATCCAAGCACCCAGGAGTTTAAGGAGAATCCTGGCTAGCTAAGGCCAACCTGGACTACAGAGTATGAATCTGAGTGTTAGAGGAAGATGGATGCCTCTGGAAGTATGGATAGAGGGCTGTTGCATCCTGTCCTACATAGGCTCCAGGCCCCACCCCAGGGTTCCCACGTTTGGCCACTAAGAATCCCACACAACACTGGCTCTCACACTTCTGGTTCCCACAGTCTACACTAAAAGTTTGTTTTGCATCCCAACATACATGGAGATACAAGTTGAAGCAGGAAAATGAACCGATATATCTCTCTTTTCTGTTCTGTTTCATTCCATCCTAATGATGACTAAACTCTGCTAAGCAGAATTTAGGACCCAAACCATCATGAACTTCAGCGGAAAAGAAAGCTGTGGATGGGGTGAAGATTGCAAGTGTAGAGTGTGTGTCACAGTTTCCTGGCAGGATGGGAGGGAAAACTTTCATTTCAACTGAAAAAACTGAACATATTGGGGGATTGTTCTGATTTGTTTGGGGGAATTTTGTTTTGTTCCTTTCTTTTCCTTTTTCTGTTTTGACACAGGGGCTCGGTATATGGTCCAGGCTTGTCTCCAATTCACACTTCTCCTCCCTTAGCCTCTGGAGTGCTGAGGCAACTGTTCTGAACCAGGAAGCCAAGCTCCATGTGCTATTCTGATACATGAACATACTATGCAATAGTAGGTCAAATATCTAGTCTCCTGAACCTTTCTTTCTTTTCCTTTTATTTATGAAAAAAAAAAGGTACTCAGAGCCTTTCCCCCTAGCTGTGTTGAAACATACAACAGTACTGGCTGCTGTCAGAGTTGCCCACTGAGTGAAGGCACACAGGCTTAGGTAGTGGGCCAACTTGGGTTTTTTCCACCCTTAGCAAAATCACAGTCATCACCAAGCATAGTGGTAAATATGCTGTAATTCCAGCAGTGAGGGACCTAAGAAAGGAGGAATGCCACAAGTTCAAGGACCACCTGTACTACATACTGAGTACAGCCCAGCCATGGCTATATATAAAAAAAAAGGACCCTGTCTCAAACACAAGCAAATCATAGCTAGGTAAAATAAGCTGTAGTGGGGCTTTGGATATGGATCCATGGTACAATGTGTGTTTAGCATGTACAAGGCCCTGGGTTGCATGCCCAGCATTACACACACACACACACACACACACACACACACACACACACACACTCTTTTTAAATAAATAGAATGCACTGTATGTCAGTAATACTCATGAAAGTAGCAAAGCAAGTATAGCAGCAATGTGACACTCATGTGTGGAGATCAGCTCAGACCAACCTGGCCCTGAGTTATAGAACTCATGAGAACATGATAATGATGTGTGGCAATCAGGAGAACATGATACATATGTAGATATGAGAACATGGCACATATGTGAAGATCATGGGAGACATGACACCATATGTGGACATCAGGAGACATGACACCATATGTGGACATCAGGAGACATGACACCATATGTGGACATCAGGAGACATGACACTGATGTGTAGGGAACAGAAGAACTCATACATGTGTGAATTTGAAGAGACCATGACACATATGTAGAGGCCAGGGGAACATGCTATTGCTATGTGGGAATCAGGAAAACATGGCATTCACATGTGGAGATCAAGAGAACATTTTGCTGATAATGTGGAGGTCCAGAGAACACGACTGATACTTGGACATCAGGAGAACACGTCATATATATGGAATGAGAATAACATGACTCGTGGAAGTCAGAGGAACATGGCATTGATATGTGTGGATCAGGAGAACATGATACATATGTGACTATGAGGAGAACATGATACATATGTGACTATGAGGAGAACATGCATGATACATATGTGACTATGTATGTGACTATGAGGAGAACATGATACATATGTGACTATGAGGAGAACATGATACATATGTGACTATGAGGAGAACATGATACATATGTGACTATGGGGAGAACATGATATATACATATGGAGCTCAGGAACACATTTCACTGATAATGTGGAAATCAGGAGAATGTAACACTCTTGTTTGGGGTTCAGTGGAACACACCACTCATATGTGGAACTCAGGAGAACATGACACATACGTGTAACTCAGAAAAACATGGCACTGATCTGTGAACAGGCAGCAGTAGCATGGCTTAATTAGAGCAAAGATAAATCATTAGCAACTAGTTTTTCCCTCAGAATCAATGCAATGATTAGGCAAGAGAAAGGGTCATAGTCTGCAGGCGACTGACCTACTTTCCAACACACGGTTGCCTTACAGAAAGCTGGACAGAAGTCACTGCTGCAGCACAGCCCCATTAGCTATGGGAAAGGGTTCGAAGCTAGCCCAAAGACAATCCTACCTCTGATATTCAGTGCTTCAGACTTTTTCTCTTTTTTCGTAGTCTCTTCTGGTTCATTCTGGGTGTTCAGGGAATCACCTGCATTCAAAGAAGAAACCTTGTGTTGTGTATAAGTTCTACAAACAAAAAGAACCAATGAACTCAAAATGCAGTTTTGTTATTTTCAATTTCTCTTAGCATACGGGAGTCCCCGCCTCTCCCACACTCAACCCATACAGGTGCCTTTCAACCCAGGGTAAGCCCGCGGTCCGCCCTTGGATTTCACAGACACTTTTCAAGTTTTAAACGGGACAAGTATAAGCCTACACGTATGCCCCAAACCCACAATACCCAAGGGGCAGAAGGGAGCCCTGACATTGATATGTCAAGGCAGAAAACAAATCCAGCAGGGAAGGGGAGGAATGGGGAGTGTTCTCTATTGCCCAATAGTAAGAATCGATTTCCAAGATCAATACTGCCACAAGGAGAGGGGAGAGGATAAGGGCTGCAGGGTCAAGGAGGAAAGGAGAGAGGGAGAAACGGGGGAAGAGAAGAAAGAAGGCAGAGAAGGAAGAAAGAACAGAAGGCGGGAGGGGAGGAAGGAAAGTTAAATTAGAAGAGGGGCAGAACAAGCTGCGAAGAGGATTTTAACAGTCAGGAAACAAAAGGCAAAGGAGGGAGTGGATGAGTGAATGGGACCAGATGCCTGGGGAAAAGGGAGGATGGAAGGAGGACAAAGTGGTCCCAGCCCAGAAGGATGCAACCGAAAGGCACCTGCTACATTCGAGAACACGGTCCCGCCCTCCTGCAGCTTTCTTCCGGCCGAGGCCCCCCGGAGAGTCACTGCTGTGTCTGAGCCGGGGGCTGCGGCTGCCACAGACCCTTGCGGATTCTCCAAAGCGCCACAAGGGCCCCCCTGGTGCTGCGGCTGCGGAGGGCGGGTCCGCCGCCCCCTCGCGCATCCCGCGAAGCAGGCGCCGCAGTCCTGGAAGATGAGCAGCCCCACTATGTTGACCGCCAGGCCCAGGGTGCCCACGATGAGCACCAGCTCGGGATCGTCGATGCGCTCGGGCCGCGCCAGGCGCAGCACGGCCTCCACGAAGATGGTGAAGCAGAGCGCGGTGAGGAAGACGGCG